TTTTTTTATTGCCTTTATAAAAAGATACAAAAACCTAAACATGTCTACAAGATTGATGCCATGATTTAAAATCAATTGATTTTTCACAAAACCAAAGAATTATATACTGCCAAAAAAAAAGGTTTGGGGAAATTATTTTTTGATTACATACTAAGCTTTTTTTTTTATTTATCTGAACTATAATGCTGCCTTTAACTTTCATAGTCTAATAAAGAACAAAAGAATTTCTATTATGTGTCTTGATTTATATTTACAAATAAACATAAGTAAATCTATCTAGATATTCACACTACATTAGAGGTGTTTGAAAAGAGGTACATCCAAAGATAATAATTATATTAGAGATATAATTGTATTAAGACAAATCTCTACTAATGCTTTATAACAAAACTATACATTCCAATTTATAAAAACATTACTATTGAATGATTACACACTACTTACTCTTCAGCAATTATATAAAGAAGAATATGATTGCAGATTAATATATTATATAAAAATATTAATGTTTTAAATATAAACATGGAGATAACATTAATATGTACATATTAAAATTAATTTTTTAATCTATTTGCATTATTGTGCATTTCTTTAGAGGTGAAGAGTAGCAAAATTAAGATAAATTTAACCTTGTATACAATTAAAATTTCTAACATTGTAAAATTAGAAAAGAAGATGTATTTATCTTAGGTATGCTATATCTCCTACTTTTAATTTTACCTGGATATTTAATTTTGCTATTTCTTTTTCCTTTAACTCTTCATCCTTGATGTGCTAAAAGTTTTTCTGAAAACCTTATTATTGTAAATAACTCTTCCAGAGAGTAATTGCAAGAGGTATATATATATATATATATATATATATATATATATATATATATAATGTTCTCATTTTGTTTTATTATTATCATGGGATAATAAAAGTTTTATTATTATCATGGGATAATAAAATAGTGCTTATTATTGACATTATTACTATTTTCTGAACACTATAATGGTGAATGATATAATGGATTTTCTTTGCTTACCAGAATTAAATCTGTATTGTCATAGAAGTGTTAGAATGTCATTATGTGTGACAAATTTCCATTTTTTATTACTGCTCTAATCCCAATTTCCAATGCATGCCATTAATATTACTGCATTAGTAATAGAACTATTCAGTATCTACATTATCAATAATTAAAAAGCTGTATTATTTGAATTTATCTGGATTATTGTGATATTTTTTAATATCATCATTTAAATTAATCAGGGGAGGACCCTAGCATAAATTCTAACTTTTTTTTTTCTTAAACCTATCTGCTATTTGTAAGATATGTTGTTTCTCCTTTTTCTCAATCTATTTTTAATTTTTATCGTGCTCATTGAATAGCCCACCACTTGATAAGACTTAACACCCAAGGAACTTCATGTGCTTGGATGTACCAGCAAGGACTCCTTAGCTTATGGAACTGCAGAAGGTAGCTCAATTTTTTCTTTCATATCCAAGAAGAAGCTAGCAAAGCTTTTTCTTGTAGTTTCTTAAGTCTTCAAGAGTAGTGTTTTCTACAAAAATAATGATATTTTTGAGATATCCATAAGAATTGCATGTTTGGAATATATACATCACCAAAGATTTCTCTAAATAACAGAAAACAAATTACTTTCCAATATAAATACTACTATGTTTTTCATAAGATTAGCAACCTTCCTTATTCTTTCTTGCTTCAAATGCCAAATCCATTATATGTTTTTTCTCTAAAATCCTTCTTTAGGCCAACTATCAACTTCTTATTTTTCTACTTACTACAAGGTCTCATCTTTTCACATTTGCAATAATGTGTTAGCTTGGACTATTGAAATAGGAGATTGTGATCTTAGGATACCATTATTTGCACGAATTTATGATGTTAGTTTTTGCAGCAGTGGATTGTAACACATTTGTTAAGGACCCTTTCATAATAAGATTGAAATGGTGACCTTTGTGGCCCAAACTCATGTTTCTATGCTCCCTGCCACCACAAGCCATTCTAAGGAGGCTCCTGAATCTAGTGTCAAGCAATGCAACTGATGTTAGATCTCTTCCTCTTGCAAGGATATGTGTCTGTCTGGGTATTCGCAAAGGTGATGAATCCAATTCTATTCTTCTTCCACATTTTGTCTTGGGTGATTCATTATTTGCTTTCATTGTTTGAGAGTGAAGTGGCAAGAGACTGACTTTTTTTTATGAAATCTCTGCTTGTGTAATTCTGTCTTTGTAAGCATTGTTTTGTAGTCAAGCAAAGCCACAAAGGCTACAACAGGCAGTACAATGTACTCCTATTTAACTATTTATTAGAACAAGAAAATATCATACTACACCTTACTATTTCTCATTCCCTAGACATTCCTCAGATGCTGCTCATAGAATTCCAGAAGCTGTAACTTGACTCCATAAAACATGAAAGAAGCAGTGAAAAAGTACCTTTCATAGTTTAAAGGTTTTTTCTCATTATTGAAAGATATCCAGAGGAGGTTAACACTTCAGAGCCTCACAAGCGCCTCATAAATTGCCCTTAAAGAGATGGTGTTCAGTTCTATGGTTCTTTAAGAATACCTACCAGTTTGACTCTGTCTTGAACATGTCGTCATTAGGTCCATTGGAGAAAAGGGTAACCATAAATGCAGAGTTTTTATAAATAGTGTTTCCTTCGAAATACAGAAGCGACAGAGATGAATTAGAACAGTGGAGGACATAGCATATCATCTAGTATGAGGTACAATTCAGTAGAATACTTTTTTCTTTTTTAATTACAGAAGTTTTGAAACTCTTACAGAATAGTCTGGATGTGGCCTAAAGAAGAAATTTTGTATGAAGGAAAGTTTGTATGAAATTGGAAATGTTTATCTTCACTTTCTCAAGCACATCATGGATTTTTCTTTAGGAAATCAGCCACATGATGACATGAGCTGTTGAGTTGTGACCAGCGTTCATGTACATGTTGAGCATGTCTATGATATGAGCGTCTTCCAGCACCTCTTTTTTGTCATCCAGCTGATCCATGAGCAACGAAAGAATGCTTGCTTCCTGCGGGTTTCCAGAAGCGCTGGTTGATCACGTCCTGGATAAGCTTGATGAGCTTTTGCCTCGGCCTGAAAATGAGAAAACGTCACAAAGCTATGTACAACGCATATGGCTTTGTTGTAGGCAGTGCCGAGGAAGTTGATGGGGAGAGCCTGAATGCCTTGGTTGACAATGTAGTAGAAGGAGAAAGTCTCTTCCATGTCAAGACTGGAGTCTTTCCCATATAAAATGTAGAGGACAGTTAGAAACGTTTCCTCCTGTGATGTTTTCCTTCCTGGCGTTAGAGAGTAACTGAGGATCAAACAAAACAAATCTCGCCATGTAAGATTGCACTGCCTGAGCAAAGCCAGGCTTGTATGAGAAGAGCAGCCCATGGAAAAGCTTCCCATTGATGGACGCTTCTAACGTGTATCCGTAGTTGAATATGTCGCTTACTTTAGCCTCGAACATCTTCTCGCCTAGCGGCTGAACATGAGCTTGAAACTATGTAGCATGAGTTTGACAGGGAAAATTGGAGAGATCCAAGTTTTTCTGCAGATACCTCCGTGAGATGAAACCAAGCTCTTGTCTGCATCCCGTTGCTTGTCTAGCACGAATGGCGTGGCATGATACTCTTGCCGCCTTCTCTTAAGTTCCTTACGCATGGATAGCTTTGGTTCTGATGGATCTTTCTCCCTCAGCATCTCTTCACAGAAAAACGGCAACCATATTGTCAAGAATGGCAGCAATGTCAATAAAAGAAGAAGCCAACCTGTGCCGAGAAAATACATATCATCCAGAGCTTCAAGCTCTTCGTTACATCCCCCATAGAAGAATCATATGCCTCGCTCTGCGTCCACGGAATCTCCTGCAAGGGAGAAACGTGGAGAAGGCCCGGGACCAGAGGGATTCGAAGCTGCCCAAACACCAGTCGCTACAAAATACGTAAAAGCCCCATGAGAGACTCACGTACTTAAGTCGAGAGTATGGACGTCATTGAATAGCTTGTGATCATAGGAGAATCCTCCAAACACGACGAGATACTTTCCATGGCTGATTGTTGTGTGCCCGGCTCTTAGCATTAGCTCCGCACCAGTCGTCTTTACCTCCCGCCATGCCATTGTTTCTGGAAACGCAAATGAATTCGCAAGTTTAAAACCAGCACCATGTATGTACCTGTGTCCAGAATATAAACATCGTTTAGATAGGCATTACCACCGTCCTCGCCACCCATGACAACGAAACAGTTCTTATAGAAAGAGCAGGTATGGCTATCCTGAGGAATAGGCAAGACTCCAGTGGTAGAAATCTTCTTCCAGACAAAAGTATCTACAGGAAAAAAAAAAAGTTTAGAAGAAAACCAGGAAAGATAACAGGATATTACTCGTGTTCAAAACATGGAGGTCGTTGTAGTACTCCTCCTCTGAGGGATCGCTGGATTTCCCACATCCCCCAAACACAAACAGGTTGTCACCAATGAGAGACGCGCTATGTCCTTCTCTCGAAGCAGGAACATCACCAAAAACGTCGGGTTTCCCCTAGGTGGTGGTAGCTGCATCAGATGGTAAGAACAAGAAAAAAAATTGATAGAACTCGAAGCTTACCAGTATCCAAAACAAAGAGATCGTTGAGCAGGCTGGTTCCATTGGTACCACCAAACACATAGAGCTTAGACCCGACGGCCGTTGAGCTGTGGCTGTCTCGAGGAGAAGGGTGCGTTCCTTTCATCACAGGCTTGCTCCAGGTGTACGTCCCTGCGCGATCCCACCAGAAGAGTGAAGAACCTTGATTCTAGTCGTCGATGACAACGTGAATCCCCTTGTTGTCCGAGACGTTGTCCCTGTCGTGAGCTCCATCCACCATAGCCTCTTCGCCTTTCACTCCCAATCCTTGTCGCATTTCTGAGCAGAGCACGTCGATCTGTCGAATGCACCTGCGCACGCGGATGCCGGCGCTTTTTTTTTCCAGCGTAAATCTGGAAGGTGTCGAGCCTGTTCTCGCTGATCATCGAGCACAACTATGATGACACAGAGAAAGCCGTGAGCCTCTCAAACCTTTGCAAACGGAGAAACAAACACAACCTCGTTGTAATAGGCTGGGACTTTCAGCCGCTTAGGATCGTTATCCAGTGCCGTTCCCAGGACTTCTTCCGGAGCTGTTCAAAAACGAACGCATTAGAGTTTTTTCTAGTGTCTAAATCGAAGGAACTCACTCAAAGGTGTTGCATAAGGAACAAATGTAGGTTGCGGCTTTTGGTAGGAGGTTTTTTGGTCCCTCGCCAGGCTCGACACCACCGTTGCTGCAATTGGCCGGAATATCTTGGTCATCCTGGAACATCTCAAGTTAGAATCGCAGGGACGACAAAAGGGGGGTGGAGACTCTTTTACCAGATGATATTCTCTGTTGAATACTTTTTCCATAAGTGTGACTCTTTTCTTCACGAACTCGGTAATTCTACGAACTCTACAAACAGAGACAAATCCCTTCCTAGGGTTAGAAATAGGATAAATGAAACGTACCATCTACATATCAATCTGCAAAGCATACTTAAGCAAAGCATTCCCTCCCAGTCGATGGAGCGGTTGCAAATCTAGAATTGAAACAGTACCTCCCATATTGCCATCTTGGCCGTCTATATCAATTGTCACAGATTTGGACAGTCAGATTAATAGTATCTACCATAAGTAAAATTGAATATTCTTAAAATGGAATATGGACGCCGATGCCAAAATAGCAACTTTAAATAAAGAGTTTGATGACTAGCAAAAGTCCCAGCTACGCTGGGAGCATTGTCTTTATTTTGGATATTTTAATAATTTCAAAGAGTTGTAAGTGTAATTGTAATTTTAACATAATCATAATTATAAGATATATAGTTAAACATAACATAATCTTTATATTAAAAATCTCTTCTACAATTGATTCTATCACCAACACACATCATAACATAAAAAATATAACTCAGTACATTGTATCATATTTAAAATTCTGATTGTTGAGTGAAGTCTTGGATATTCGATAAATGGAATTTCTCGATGAGTCATTTGTTTAATAACTAATTTTTTCTTTTATTTGAAATCTCTATATAATTGATAAAATATTATTATTTGATGATTTATTAAACTCTATAATTTTTCCTCCTAATAAAGTATGTGTTACTTAACTACACTCAAATATAATTATGTTAAAAATATGTTTATTATATATTTAAAAACTCAGCTAAAGTGTATACATATTTTAAATTAAAAAAATATAAACATTATTATGGAGTTTCTCTTTTCATCATTTCAGACTGAAAGTTTTGGAATTGCATGATAATAAGTGAAAGATGTTAGCTTTATGTGTTATATTTTCTTTTATAAAATTATAATATTTTACATATTTATCATTGATATTCCATTTTTACCTAATATTTATATTCATGCATTTTGAGAGTAATATTTAAAATAGAGAGTATTCTATTATATATCATAAACATTATTTCTGTAGTTATTTTTATAAATCTGAAATAAGATTATTATCTCCCTATATTCTTGTATTTATATTTAAAATTAAGGCTTTATAACACTGTTATGAATGCTGAAATTTTATGATGATAAATGAATGGTAATGTTTTACTCTATACTGGGGTAGAGGAGGGTTTGATGATATATAAACTTTTCTTTATGCTAGAACTATAATATATCAAAAAATTCATGAATGGTAGGTTTGATATAATATAATTAAATTTATTTATATGGTCCATGTACTAATGTTGTCTCAATCATATTTATACCTTATTAAGTTTTTCATGTATAAATGCAATGTAGGATAAAGTGGTAGAAAATTTATGATATTATATAAATCTTTGGCTACATCTTAGCCAATTGACATCTCAATATGTTTAATTTCATTTATATTTATATTAATAAATAACATAAGATTACTAATAAGAAAATATTTTAATAATAAGAGATAAATAATAAGAGGTAGGTAGTGCTAGGAATTGCAAGAGTGAGAGGAGGGTTGTCATGGTCAGGAGCAAATCAACACCAAGAAAGCTAGGGTGAAGATCAGGTGTGGCTTTCCTTTGCAGTTAATAGAGTACGAATTGATCCATGAAGAATTGGATGAAGAATTGCTGTAGATTAGACTTTATAGAATAAAAGTAATATTAGTCTATGGAAAAATTGTTATTAGTATTTGAAAAGACCAGTTTGACATAAAAGGATCAAAATCATCATGTTCCAACTGTCATGCATGCAAAGTGTTCCATCAAAGAAGCAACAGGCTGCTGAGGACTACCTTGTCCAACTCTTTGCAGCCATCAATTTATGTGCCCTTCATAGCAAAAGAGTCACAATAAGTCAGTATTCAAATAACACACACAAAAAGATTATAGAATTTATCAGCCAGCTTGAAAATTATACATTTAGGCTGTCGGCTTAGAGGAACCTTGGAGCATTTCATTTGGTACTACATTTCTTTTTCTTGCAAGTTCACTTAGAGTTTACCATGCAGCTTATACTTATTGATTAGAATCCTCAATTTTTCTTAGAAAATTGCTGCTACTTTCAGGCATAAATCGCTGTTAATTTCAGGCATCCTCAACCACATATTTTTTGGGAAATTAAATTTAGTATCAGCACAAAATCTGACCTGGAAAGAGATGTAATTAAAAGTAAAAGTAAAATAAACATACTTTTACTAATAAGAAAATATTTTACACAACAGATATTTAGATCTATTAACTCCTCTATTTTAAGTTATAAAATATCATATTTTTATAGAAAATATTTTATTTATATTGTAATTTAGATATTTTATTTTTTATTTAT